TGCAGATGGATGGGGACTTCTTGGTGAGGGACAGTATCACCAACCCAGGGCAGTACGTTCTGACGGGCATGCATAGTGGGCAGCCCAAGCACCTGCTGCTGGTGGATCCCGAGGGAGTGGTAAGGGCAAGGTGAGGGGGCTGGGGGGCCTGGATAGCTGCCGGGAGCTTCAGGGATGCTATGCCCACACCCCAGGTGAGGACCAAGGATGTGCTCTTTGAGAGCATCAGTCACCTCATCAGCCACCACCGGCAGAACGAGCAGCCCATCGTGGCCGCCGAGAGTGAGCTGCACCTCCGCCAGGTTGTCCAGAGGAAGCAGTGATGCCAGGGGGTACGTGAGCCCCCACCCCGCTCCCCTGGCACCGATCTTGCCCCCAGCCTTAGGCAAAGCCAGGGCTCCTCTGCACTCCCCTCCTCTGTTAGTGCCTGTCTTTGGAGACAGTCAAAGGCCCTCAGGGTCAGCATCCCTGTCCCGAACCTCAGCAGGGCCACCTGGTCCCCATCCCTCAGGGGCTGCGCTGTCCCTCTGTTGTCCTCCCACCCACACTGCCTTCTCTCCATTGTCCACGTGGGACCCTTTGCCCAGAAGGACACACAGATGTTTATTCCATGTGCATTGGCAAAATGCTGCCTGGGATGAGGGATATCTGGAGACAACGTAGGAATGGGCTGGGGTTGAAGCATCCTGTGCTGCCGACGGGGCTGCCCTGTGCCCTCTGCCCTGGACATTGCTGTTCCCATACCCAGTGCTGCTGCTGCATCCCAGCACAAGAGACATGGAGCCAAGGGGAGGGGACAGTGGCAGGAGCATCATCCCAGGGCTCATGGGGTGGGATAGGTCGAGCAGTGTACGTGTGCACACATGTGTGTGCATGTGCAGGTATGTGAGGGGCTGCTGGGACTCCAGCCCCCACCCACTGAGCTGTGCCTCTCAGCCAGCACTACTGCTCAGGACCCAATTCTTGCCTCAGCCCCTGCTCTCTACAAGGACACTGGGGGCCCTCCCATCTATGGGACTGCATCTCTGCTGGGGCTTTGCCTGGCAGGGCTGGGCACAAGCATCTCTCAGAGCTGGTGCTGCTGGGTTTTCCCATTGCTTCCAGATTTCCAGCTGTCTTCTCTCCATGAGCTCACATTGCCCCTGGAGCCCCGCGTGGCCCTGAAGAGGGGGCCAGAATGGAGTCTCCATGGGGATGGCACAGGGCAGCAGTGAGCCTGCAAGGCTGGGGCTGGCAGGGGGAAAGGTATCCCCAGCCCTGAGCCCCTACCTGGCTGGAGCATTGGAAGGTTTTTATGACATTCACCATCCCGTCTCTCGTCGCTCGGCACGGGTTCATTGTTTCGATTACATTTCTAATTAAACCTGGAAATGAGTAAGTTCCTTGCTGTTCATGCTGCCCCAGGCACGGTGCTAGCAGGGCAGAGGGCTGGAGGCTGCCAGCTTCTGTGCTCAGCAGCGCCAGCACGGAGCAAGGGATGAAGATGGGGACACAGAGGGTGCCAGGTCAACTTCTGCATCACCATCAGCTCCTGGCTGGTCCCACGTTTGTGGCTGCACCCTGCAATCAGGCGTCTCCTGCAGGCACACATCACCCCTGAGCTCCAGCATCTCCTCCAGGGGCCAGGCTGGCTGGATGCTGTCAAGGTGTCTGCTGCAGCCTTGTCTCACGCTACGGCCAGGCTGGCATCAGAGCAGAGCTGTCGTTCATCACCTGCTAATGACCACTGACAAGTGGCTGGGAGCGGGAGCTGAGCCCGTGCCTCACTGTAGCTCCTGGCTGTGCTGCGTGGCCAGGTGATAAAAAGACATTTGCTGGAATTGCTATAGGCAGGAAAATCCCTGCCTGAGCCCAGAAGCTGCCAGATCCTGAGCATGTAAGGCTGTCAGAGCTAGCAGCAGGGCCAGGCTGCCAGGGGGTCTGTTCCCCCTGGCAATGGGTGCTCAGCCCCAGCAGGCTCTGGTGCAAAGCATGGGCTGCCTATGGTGCAGTAGCAGCGAGCTCCAGGCAGGCTTTGAGATCACCTCCAGCACTGACACCTGGGGGGTCCCCATTAGGCACCTTTTGCTTGCTGTGCCAATGCTGGGCCTGGAGGAATAGGATCATTGGTGTGGTCCCTCTGGGAAGGGTCAGCACTCCGTAGGGCAAGGCTTGTGTGGATGACTCAATGAATATCATCATTGCCAAATAAAGCCCAGTAATGAATGTGTAATTTTCCATTGATAGTCAAATACCTACAGGGATGTAGCTCTTCTATCTCAGCTGCTATTTTTTGTCATGTAGTAATGTGTCTGCAAAGATAATTGCACCATTCCCTCAATAGCAGAGGCAGGAAAAGGCAGAGAGAGCCCCTGCTTTCTTCACTGCTGGAGAACCAGCCTGTGCCTCACACCAGCTGCTGCCTGAGATGCTGCGAGCCTGGTGGGGCTGGCACGTCATGTTTGAGGGGGTTTGAGCTCTTTGCATCTCGTGTCCATGCTGATTGCTGCACCAGAAGCAGAGCACCCCCCTCCTCCCCCCTCACCCCAAGCCTCCCAGCCCCAGCATGCAGTCAGAGCTTTGTGGTGTGGGGAGATGAGCTGAGAGCTGCGCAGCTCTTGAAAACAGAAAACAATTAAATCTGAGCCCTTTACCGAGTTAACTACGGACATGAATAATGCAATCAGAGCGTCAGTTCCCCAGGAGTGCTCGGATCCGAAATTGAATTTCTGCCGGGCGGTGGGGAAGGAAGGTTCGATGCCGTGCGCTTCTGCTCCGGTGTGAGGGAAGGGGGGGGAAGGTGGGTTCTGCTTCCCATCCTCCAGCAGGTGGTAGCACGCTGCCGGCTCCGCATCCCCAGCTCTGCCATGTCCCAACCCTGCCGCCGTCCCCAGCTCCTCCGTGGCCCCAGCCAAAGCTGCCGCGTTGCGCCCATGCATTGCCGGATGCTGCGCCCTCCAGCCAGGCACTAAAACCGACCCTTATCCATCTCTGTGTCACCTGTGTCACGCTGCCTGGGAAAGGCACGGAGCCTTGAGAGCTGTTATCCCAACCCCACGATGATGCAGGGGGGAGACAGGAAGGGCAAAGCGTCTCTTCCAGCTCTGCAGCGCTGTGTGACGGTCTGCAGCCCGTTTTGGAAACACTGGAAACCTCTTTTTCTCCCAACCCTGCAAGCATTCGTTCCCTGCCCGTCTCTATCTGTGGTCTGGCACCTCCCTCTGCATGCAGTGTCTGTGGCAACGCAGCGCTGGGGGTGAGAGCTGGTCCTGAGCCCAGCAGAGCTGGCTGGCAGTGAGGGCAGCCCGGGCACTGCCTGCATCCCCGATGCGTGACCCTGCACCGAGATCCCAGCTGCTTTCCCTTTGCTGCAAACCGGGAGATCCGTGAGCTCTCTGTGGTTTTGCCCATCGCTGCAGCCCCGCTTTTACCCCAGCACGGCAGAACTGCTCCCCTTTTTTCTTTTTTTTTTTTTGCTGCTGGTCCCAAGCGGAGCATGCGGGCAGGGCTGGCCCCGCTCCAGCTTTCTTTGTTATCTCCGGGGAACTCAACCATTTCTGTGCCTTGTTTACCTCCCGTTGCACATGGGTGGAGGAAAGGTAAACAGCAACCTTTTGTTCACCAGCTCTTTTTCCTTGAGCTTCTTCCTCTTCTCCCTGTCTCCATCCACTTTCCCTCCCCCCCCCCCCCCCGGGTGGAACCAGCACTGCAGTGCTGAGCCCCAAGAACATCCACAGTGCTGCCATTCCCCCTCCCCAATGCTGCCTCAGCCCAGACCCCTCCCTTGGAGGACCCTTCATGCTCCATTTGCTGGGCCCAGTTGCTTCTCCCAGATCTGTCCCTGCAGTGGGCAATGTTCTGAGCAACCAATTCCCAGGTGAAAACCTGCAGTTTGTCAGAGCTCCCCACCGGGCAAGAGTGAAAATCAAAGTGTCTGCCCTGCCAGGGAGCACTCACATGGCGGAGGGGCACATCGGGGAAGCCAGGCTGCGTAGAGAAAATGCAGGGCAAAAAGCTTTCTGAGGGAACTGTTGCCCTCCCAGATCCTGAGCACCTTCTCCCTCACTGCGTTTACCAGAGCTGCATGCTGGCCCTTGGTCTGTCCTTCTCTTTGATCAGCTCACAGCGTGGATGCAGAGGGAGCTGAGAACTCCCACCCTTTTCATGGTGCTTGGCTGCCACGATCCTCATGCAGTGAGCTCACCAAGCCAGGCTTTCACTTCTGATGATTATACCCAGCCCTGTGCTGCTGCTGTGGGCTGTTTATAGGGGAGAATGGAGCCCTCCTTCCTCCTAGCAGCATCCCTGAGGCAGGAGGAACCACTGCTGGCCCCAACCATGCCCCGTCCTGCTTGGAGTAGCTCTGTCCCCAAGGCTGTCAGCCGATGTGGCACCTGTCTGGAGCTCATCCTCCTGCTCTGAAGATCTCCTGCCCTCCCCCTACGGGCTGCAGCGATGCTCGCTGGGTTCTGCTGATGATTTTGCCCCTGTTGTCCCCAGCACCACCTGGGCCATATCCTACCCAGGCGCTAGAGAAACGTGTGACAAGTGGCATTGCCTTTCTCCACTCCTTCCAGCCACGATATTAAACCACTTAATGCACTCAGCGAGTCCTTGAGCTCTGAGCCGCCTTGGAGTGCTGTTGGCTTTGTTCAACGCTTTGATGAGCTCGAGAGCTCGGAGGGGGGGAAAGCACCGGGCTGACAGCGGGCTCCACTCCGTGCTCTTGCGGTTCTCCAGGAGGGAGGGAACTGGGGGCACCACGGAGCTGCCGTGTCCGGTCCCACTCCACTCACGGTCCCACTTATGGCTACACGGCAGTGTCCCTGGACCGGGGGGCATCACGTCCCGGGTCATGAGGGGCAGAGTTAGGTTCCGACCCGACTCGTCCCGGTGCTCAAGGCTTCCCCGCGGCTCCCGGCAGCATCACCCGGGGTGCCCGGTGCTGTGCTGGAAATGTAGGGGCGCAGCGCTCGGAGGATTACGGCGGCGGCGCGGCGGGGAGCGGCGGGGCCGTATAAAAGCGCGTCCGCTCCCGCCCGGGTCTGCGGCGGCGGCTCCGGTCCAGGTGCGGCAGCGGCTCCAGCAGCGGAAACGGCAGCTGCCCGGTGGGCGGCTCGGCCCGGCTCGGCACAGCTCTCCGTGCGTCACGGCCGCCCCGTCCCATCGCTTCCAGCTCTCGGGTCCGGTAGCTCAGCCGTGCGCCGCGGGGTCCCGGGGCAGCGGGTTCCGGTGACCGTCGGTGCAGGCTGTTCCTTCCCGATCCCCGTCTCGAGGCTGGCGTGTTTCGGTCGCGACGTCCCGCGGCGCGGTCCCATCCTTCCCCGTCCGTTATCCCCGGCGCCGGAGGGTCCCGGTGCCCCGCAGCGCGGTCGAGTCCTTCCTCCCCTCCCCTTGGTGTCGGTCTCCCTCGGCGCGCCCCTTCCCTTCCGCATCCCCGTTCCCGTCACCCGCGATGCTTGCGGCTCCCGGTTCCCGGTGACAGCGTTTCCGATCGTTATCTCTTCCAGCCCTGCACCCGGCAGCAACATGTGGCTCCTGGAGCGGCTGCGCGGCATGGCGGAGAGCAGCAGCGCACGGGGTTCGGGGCCGGACGATTCCCCGCGGGGCTCCCGCTATAGCAACGTCCTCACCCCCGATAAGATCCCCGACTTCTTCATCCCGCCCAAGCTGAGCGCTGCACCAGCTGAACCCGAGGGTACCGAAACCACCGCGCCTCCCGTCCTGGGTCCGTCTGTCTCGGAGCAGGACCTGACGGACCGCAAGACCCCACGCAGCCCCCGGCCTCCCAGCCGACCCCGTGCGAAGGCATCCGGCCGTCACATCATCCAGATCGAGAGCGCCGAGGACTGGACAGCCGAGGGCGGCTTCGGCACCAACGTGGACCCGCAGGCGCAGACGGCCATGTCTCTGCCCTATGTCCCCAAAGCGCAGACCTCCTACGGTTTCGCCACGCTGGTGGAGAGTCCCCACACCCGACGTAAGGAATCGCTCTTCCATAGCGAACACAGCAGCCTCTGCCCCTCGCCGGCCACCTCGCCCAGTGGCCAGCGCAGGGCAAAGCTCAACGGTGAGAGCAGAGCTCAGGCTCCTGCCGACCTGGGGGCGGCCCTCATGCACCCCGGGCGCTATTTCAGCGGCGGTGAAAGCGACACGTGCTCTTCAGCAGAGTCCTCACCCTTCGGCTCACCCCTCCTCTCCCGCTCCGTCTCTCTGCTGAAGATCTTCAGTCAGGAGAGCCAATCCAAGGTCATCAAGCTGAAGCACTCGGTGGCTCGCAACAGCTCGCTTTCAACCGATGACAGCTCAGCCGACACCAGTCCCAGCGCCCAGCGTCGCTCCAGGAGCGCTCCGGCCGGGGGACAACCGACAGCGGGCGCGGAGCTGCCGCAGGGTCGGCCCCGTGAGCACAGCCTGCGGCTCAGCCGGGGCGGCCGCCTCCGTCTGACTGCTGATTATGACCCTTCCAACGCCCGGCTTCGCGTTCAGCTCATCTGCGCTGAGGATCTCTACGACGCTCTGGTCGATGTGCGTGGTATCCACTGCTGCGTTTCGCTGTGCCTCAACCCGGGGAAGCTACAGAAGCAGCGCAGCACCATCATCAAGAACAGCCGCAACCCTGTCTTCAATGAGGACTTCTTCTTCGATGGGCTGGGCCCCAGCCACGTCAGGAAGCTGTCCCTCAAGCTGAAGGTGGTCAACAAAGGCAGCAGCCTGAAGCGGGACACGCTGCTGGGGGAGAAGGAGCTCCCGCTCAGCGCCCTGCTGTAGGCTCAGCAGCCCTGCAGGGAGCGTGCCCGTGGGGCTGGGGCACGGGAGGGCTTGGGCCAGCCCTGGCCCCTCTGAACTAGGGCTTGGAAGGGCCCCCAGAGGAGGGCCAGGGCTGTGGCAGAGCTCAGGGATGCAGGGCCGGGTCCCCGGGAGCGGAGCTGCCAGATGCAGCCCCTCCTGTGCCAGCCTCTCCCTTCTGTTCCAGCTCCCTGGCCGGGGCTGCGGCTCCTGGAGCACAGCAGGAGCCACGTGCCCTGTCCCTTTCAGATGGATGGATGTCACCTGCTGGGCTCTTCCCTTTCTGGTTTCCCGTGGCCTCCAGCTGGCCAGCACGAAGGTTGGAAGTGGGTAGAGCTCTGCAGCATGCTTATTGCCACCTCTCTCCAAGCCTTAGCTCCTGGAGTCAGATGATGGCATCGACCTTGGCTTTCATTTAAAAGTCAAGCTTTGTAGTCTTGGAAACTGCAGAGAAAATGCTGCAGAGGTGACCCAGGAACCTGGTTGGGGTCCCTGGGAGGTGGCCTCGTGGCTGACTCACATCTGTGGTCTTTCTGAGTCCCTTCCTGGAACCACATAGAGTGTGCAGTCAGCTCTGCCCTCCTGTCCTGGTCCCCCAGATACTGACCCCTCTCCCCCATGAACAACAGCTGCAGGAACTTCAGAGGCGTTTGGATTTATCCAAACCCAGATGGATGCTGATAGGAGCTGGCTCTGCTGCTGGGGGGGGGGGGGGGGGGGGGGGCACATGGCCATGGGGGTGAGCATGCATGCTAGGGTAACATCCCAGCAGACCCCAAGCAACAAAAGCAGCACCTGCTGCCTTCCCAAGTGCTCGTGGCTCTGTGCCTGCATGGCACTGGGGATGGGTGGCACCAGAGCAGGTGGCAGGCTGGGATCTGGGCTGCCCCCCTCTAATTCTGCCCTCTCTGAGCACTCACAGGTGAGGGGCTTGAAAGCTTCTGCACCCCCCCCCCCCCCCCCCCCTTCCCACCCACAGGGAGATGCATGGCCCTGGGGTCACAAAGCCCCCACACCTGGTGGGACCCAGTCCCCAAACAGGGCTGTGTTGGCACATTGAATCCCAGCACTGCCCAGAGACACCAGAATGGGGGAAATCCAGGCTGGGGTATCTGCAGGTGGCTGAAACAGCCGCTTTGTTGTTGTTTGGTGTGGTGTTACCTGCATGTTTTTGTGAAAAGGAGCAGAAATAGCATCGCTCCTCTCTGCCCCCTTCCAACACGTGTGGACACACGCACATGTGTCCCTCTGTGTCAACCTCTGTTGGTGGCGGTTGATGTTCCTTCCTTGTCCTTTGCAGCAGATGGCAGATTTCAGTGTTGGCTATTTATATCCGAGGCTGATCTTTCCCAGCGTGTTTTACTTCTGTCTGTAAATATGTTTCAGGTATACGAGGCATGGTTCTGGTGCTGTTTGCATGTCGGGGGGGGGGTGGGGGGGTGGGTTGGGATGATCGTGGCTGTTTGTTGAGCTTGTGGTTGAAAACAAACCGTGCAGGACGTGAGGAACAGACGCATCCCTTTTGCCACAGGGGATTTCCCACCTGCTGCTCCCCATTGCTCTCCTCAGGAACAACCAAGGGCTGCCCATCCCTGTTCTTCCTCCATCCCCTGACATGGAGGTGGGGGGGGGGACGGGACACCCAGCTGCTGGCCAGGAGATGGAGGAGGACCAGTGCAAAGGTTTCAGTGCTCATGAAGGGCTGGAGATGCCACAGCCCCTCCACGGTAGGGCTGTGCTGTGTTGTCTTTGTGTTTTGGGGGTGGGTTGGGAGGCTGAGAGCAGAGCTGGGGGGCTCTTTGGCTGCTCTTTGGCTCCGTGGGGGGAATTGAGGGCTAGGAGTTTGTGCCATTACCTCCCTCACCTGTCCCAGGTCGGCTGAGCTCTGGGATTTGCTGCTGTGATGGATGGGAGGGTGGATGCGGAGTCCTGGAGGGATCCTTCCTCCCTGTAGCCCTTTTCTAACGTTCCTGCTTTATGATATTTCTGTGGCTGGATTTAACAACGCGTTTTTGTTTTGGAGTTAATATATACATATATATATTCATTAATGGAATGTTTGTTTACAGATGACTTCCCCTTTTTAGTGCAATAAAGTCTTTCTAAAACAGATGCAAATGGTACCCAGCTCCTGATGCTCCCTTGCTTTCTATTATCCCACATGCTGCTGACCCCCTGTGATGGCAAGCAATGGGGACAGCCTTTCCCCCCCCATTCCCCCCCAGCTGTTCCAGGCCAGCAGCTTATTCTGCTTTCTTCTTTTCTTTCCCCTGCTTTCCATCTCTCAACCCACTTCTAACAAGCAGCTGCTGAAGCAAAGAGGGAGGTTTGCCTGCAGCCTAAATGCCATTTTTCTAATTTCCACCATAGTAATAATTTGTCATTTTTAGTAGAAATAAAGAATAGGAACGCTAAACAGATCCGCCCTCCTTCCTCCCGGCCCCACAGGGCACAGAAAGCAGCGTGGTGAAAACTTGGCAGGTGCCAGGAAATTAAAATAGGGTTGTTTTTTTTTTTTTCCTTTTCGAGGTGTAAAAGCCACAGCAGTTAGCAATAAAATGAGCCTGATTGAGTTCGTTTGAAATGGAGCGGATGGGGGTCAGCCTGAAAACACTAAAAATCCTTCAAGTGCTCAATATGCAAAGCATGGGAAACAGTCGGAGGGGCGGCTGGTGGGAGAAGATTTAGCTCTGAATTCCTAATTGAGTTGTTAGAGGAGAGATGTGCAGCTTCCAGAGCCTGGGGTTAAACCCTGAGCTGAGGCTGGGCTGCAATGAGCCTCTGCACTGCAGGCTGTGGGATGGCCAGGGTGGGGGTCCAAGCAGGATTACCCAGTGATTACCTGGGGGTAATTGGGGTCCTGATGGTTACCTCCCCCTGCAGATAGTTGGGTGCAGTTGGGGTTAGCCTCACAACACCCCCTGCTCTGACAAAGCTGCTGATTTACCGTTTGGGTTTTGTTTTGTTTTTTTTTTAATAAAAAAAAAAGCTTCTTTCTGTTGCTTGGCAACATCTTGGCTGCCTGGTCCGGTTGCGGGGGCTGCAGGGCTCTGTGGGGCTGCCCCAGCTGCAGTCTGATCCCGAGCATCACTGAGCAGCCGGTGTGGGAGCAGTGCTGTGTTGGTGGGTGCAGGGCACGATGCACCCACCTTGCAGCTGTGTGTGAGTATCGGCCTCCCTCCGGCTTGCACACAGCTCCTCATCTTTATTGCAAGCATTTGTCTTCCGTGGCAGCATGTCTGTTTGAAAGCAGGGAGAGAGACTCCCACTGTTAACGGGAGGAAAACGGGAGTTAATTGAATCCCACAGTTCCTCACAGTCACATCAGGTGAAAGAGAAAAGCCAGAGGCAAAGGTTTTGGCCCTGCTGGCTGCTGACTGTGGGGTCTGAGCACCTGAAGCCATGAGGACATCAGGCTGTGAGCGCCTCAAGCCACGGGGACGCCAAGCCCTGGGGGAGCCCTACTGGCAATAGGGACAACCTGAAGCTCTTTTCCAGCCCTGTGGCATTTGCAGGTTTGATGAGAGCCAGCACAGAAGCAGCAGCTTGCAAGCTTTCCCCAGGGCTGGCTGTGCTGCTGTCACCGCAGCCCCAGGGCTCAGGTTGTTTTGCTTTTCCACATGAGCTTTGCTCTCATGTTTTGAAGCTGACATGCTGACGTGGACCTGGAGCCATGGGATGGATCCTAACTCAGCCTTTCCCATCTCCTCTGGAGGAATTTGGCAGAGGAAATTAACACATCCCAAAGCCCAAGTGTGGCTTGGTTGCATCACACCAACAGCTGCAGGACTGGAGAAACCCCCAAAATCTGTGCTGGGAATGAGTGTGGTTATAGGGGTGGATGAGGGAAGGGGCTGAGGATGTACCATGGTGTAAAGCTGCTCTCCCAGCCTTTCCCCTCTGGACCGGTTCATTTCCAGCTCCCTGCTGGAGTTTTCAATGCTGCCTCTGACAGGTTTGCAAAATGCCCAACGTATCAAGCAGGCCCAGGTGGGAGGGGAAACAAATGGCAAAAACAAAGCAGACAGGAGGACTCGTTCAACGCTGCTGGCCAACGTTTTAATATCAGTTCAGACAGGCTTCAATCGATACGGCAATTTGGGGCTGCTGGCTGAGCTCTGAGAGTTGTGTGACGGCTCTGGGTGTTGGGTACAGATTGGGGGTGCTGGGTACAGATGCTGGGTGCCACAGGGGGATCAGACCCTGAGTTCTGGGTTTCTTGAAAGGCGGCGGCTCTGACCCACATGGAAGCATGATGAGGACATGGGGCTGCATCCACCATCACAGCTGGATCTGCCCCCCAGCATGGGCAGCGTCTGGGGATTGCACTGGACACGCCACAAAGAGCATCAGCCTGGCTCCATCGCCATGGCAATGTAGATAATGGAGCCTGCTGGCAGGAGGGGAGGGCTGGGAGCCCTGGGCTGTGCTCACCCCATGGATGTGCCGCGGCCACGTTCAATAACAGCCCTCTCAGCCCCTCTCTGAGTGCTTGGGGCTGCCCAAAGCTGGTATGGGAGCAGAGGCAGCCACAGTGCTACATCTCACCGTACTGAAGCTCCTTGCTCCAGGACAGAGCCAGAGGTAGCGCAGGGCAACACGTAAATATACAGAAACACGTCTATTCAAACCCTCAAATCTCACTGCTGCCAGGTTGTAATTAATTCCTATTTGCAGCTCAGTCCAATTTCCTTCACGCAGCCTCCCAATTCAATCCAATTGCCGTATGAGATTTCTGTAATCACTAATCTTATCATGTCCATCAGCGTGAAGTGAGAACGCTGCAATTAGCAGCACTGGGAGCAGGGCCGTGTGGAGCAGCAGGTGATGGGCTGCTCCATGAGTATTTACTTCACCTGTGCCAGGGAAAAGATGGTGCTTGGCCAGGGCTGTGCTGGGGCTGTCCCTTTTGCTATTTCCACCTTGGCTCTGGCTGCAGGAGCTCGTGCAGCAGTGAAATGATGAAATGATGCTGGCCTGGGAAACAGGATCAGCTCCCCAGCATCAGGGCTGCTCCTGCCTCACTCCTCCCCATAGCTGAGCCTTCCCCTGCCAGCTCCCAAAGGGGAACCTGAGGTTCAGCGGAGATGCAGCAATGCAAGGAAGGGCTGAGATGTGTCCCACCTAACCCAGGTCTCTCCATACCCCCTTCTATCCCAGGACTCCCCCCACCCCCCATAGCCAGGAGCCGGCAGGGCTGCCCTCTAGAAATGCAACGCCTGGATGCCGACGCTGAGCCAAGAAACGTGACGTTGATGCCGGCGAAGTGTCCTTAAACAGAACCATCTGCGCCACTCTTTGTCACAACAGTAGGAGTTATAGATGAAGTGTCAGCCTGCGTGCTGGATTTCCTGGCTCTGCTCACCACCGCTCCCTTTCACAGCCCAACTCGAGCTCTGCTCGCTCCGTTCCCGAGCAGACGGAGGCTCAGTCTTCAGGGGCAGCAGGAAGCTGCTCGCATCCCGCCTGCCCTCCCACGGAGTGCTGCCAGCCTTTTGCCAGTTGTGCACAGAGAGAGAGGCTGCTCGTGCTGCTGTGGCACCCCAGGAGGGCTGAGCTGGGCTAAGATAGGAGCACGCCTACTCTGCTGTGAGCGTGGGGACACCCAGCTCCCCGTCCCCTCTGAGCTGGCCCCATCTCCAGGGTGCAGTTCGCGGGGGATCCCGCTCTGCACAGTGCCTGTTTTGTGGACAATCTGTTCTCCTCCCACCAATGCTGGCTGCCTGCCTGCTGCTTGCTCCCAGCAGAGGCGTCGTGCGATGGGATCAGAGCTGCTCCTGCAGGTGCCTCGAAGCCATGGGGTCCCTTTCTGAGCCTGTCTGGATTTGGGGAGCAGCCGCTTGCTTTGGCACTGGGGCAGGAGATGCTCGTCGAGGTTGGTGGGGCTCACACAGGTCTGATTTTAGGGCATGTTCAGGAGCAAACGAGGGTGCTTCAGAGTGGCTCACTGAGGCTTCTGGGGTTACCTACAAAGAAGCTCAGGTGCCCCAGGTTGCCCTGGAGGATCCAAGAGGGTGACAGGCTGACACTTCATGTATATAACTCCTACCGTTGTGACAAAGAGTGGCACAGGTGGTTCTGTTTAAGGACACTTTACCAGCATCAACATCACATTTCTTGGCTCACTGTCAGCATCCAGATGCTGAGTTTCCAGAGGGCAGCCCTGCTGACCCTGGCTGTCTGTGGGGGGGGGGGGGGGTGTTGGTATTCACAGAATCACAGAATTGTAGGGGTTGGAAGGGACCTCCAGAGATCATCGTGTTCAACCCCCCTGCCAAAGCAGGTTCCCTACACCAGGTCGCACAGGTAGGCATCCAGGCAGGTCTTGAACATCTCCATCCTGGAATAGAGGGGGTAGCAGGAGTACTGGGTATGGGGGACACATCTCAGCGCTTCCTTGCATTGCTGCATCTCTGCCGAGCCTCAGGTTCCTCTCTGGGAGCTGGTGGGGGAGCTCAGCTGGGGTGAGAAGCGAGGCAGGAGCAGACTTGATGCTGGGGAGCTCAGCCCATTTCCTAGGCCAGCAGCATTTCACTGCTGCACGAGGTCCCGCAGCCAGAGCTCAGTGGGAAGGCTCTAAGGCACACCGAGGAGCTCCGGGAACGCTCCCTGCTACCGCCGTGCAGCGGGTGCGCGCATTGCTGCCTTTACCTTTACAACAGGGCAGGGTTACGCGCACGGGGCGCGCGGCTCTCGCTACGTTCGTACGGGACTGAGGAGCCGGACAGCGCCACCTGCTGGCAGCATCGGAGAGCTGCAGGCGTCGGCACCTCCCGCTCGTACGCATGCGCAACGCCACGTGGAGCGGCCGTCCCCGTGGGTACCGGCGGAGCGGAGAGGTTCCGCCGTGGGCAACGGGAACGAGGGCGGCGTGGAGCGGAGAGTCAATCAGATACAGAGCAGAACGCGAAATGGCCGCCGGGAGAGCCACAGCGGTACGTTCTCGGGGCTCGGTGGGTAAAGGGGAGGTGAAGGATTGGGAAATCAATGGGGAAAAGCATTGGGAATTGCAAGGCGGTAGGAGAGCTGCTCAGCTTGGCAGGGGATGTGGGCATGGTTTGGGGGTCACACTGCCTCTTTGCCCTATTGTAGTAGCGTGCATTTGTACTTCACAGGATGGATTGGCTGCAGGTGGTTCTGGTAGAGGGACTGGTGAGGTTGGGGGGCTGTCGGCATTTGGCATCACAGCACTGTGAATGTGGAAGCAAAGAGCTATAGGACAGCTGGGGGGAGGGTATCGGGGGGGTGAGGCAGGCTGGAAGGCACAGCAGAGCGGTTGCTGCTTCTACAAACAGCTCACAAGAAAGAAGGAATGCCTATGGGGTAAAGTGTGCCAAATTGAGGTGACAGAGGGAGGACAGGAGGGGGATGCTCACCAACTCATCACCACAGCATCATCCTGAGCAGAAGCACAGAACGAGGAGTCCAGCCACGGTTGCCTATGGGGAAATGGGCGATACGAGGCCATGAGAGTGCCTGCATTTTAATTCACACCGAGTTGCTCTGAGCATTTGATAGAATACACAGCATAGAACATAGGGTACCTCAGAGCCAGTGGGGTGCACCAAGATGCCTCTAGGGCACACTGGGCAGCCTCTACAGCACCCAAAGAACGCTGAGATAGGCTGGGGGTACACTAGGATGCCCTAAAGCCAGCCCTCAGAGCTCCCAAATCTCTCCTGAAGATGGGAGCAAACCAATGCCACCCACAAGAGGTGCCAGACACCATGCCCAGCCATAGAGGTCCCCCAAACCCCACAGCTCCACACTGATGGGGTTTCTGCAGAGGTTGAGGGGATGCAGGGTTCTGAGAAAATGTTATTTTGAAGTACACCCCAAGGTTGGATGAGCTCAGGGCTCCCAGATAAGCTCAGCCTCATTCTATAATGAATAACTCAGCATCCAGCAACCCCAGAGCAGGATTTATGGCACAGTGCCTTCCTTAGAGCTCACATCCATCCTGCTGGGACAGGGCAGGCTGGTGCCAGGATAACTGGGGGATCTGTTCCAAGAGGAGCTGCTGGAGCCTGGGCACACAGGAGTTAAAGCTGAGCAGGAGAAATCAGAAGAGGATAGGCCTGTAAATGTAAAGTGCCATTTATTATTATTTCTCCATGATGAAAATATTGAGGTTTTTAAAAAGAAACAACCCAACAAAACGTTTAATATGATTTTCCCTTCCAAAACCCAACACCAAAGTGAAACAAGCCACAAACAACCCTAACGCTTCATGAATTGTCCATCTCCCCACTTTGCACCTAAGGGGCAAAAAACAACAGCAACTGCCTGGTGCATTTTGGTGCCAGCCCCCTGCCCCAGCAGTGGGGAAGGGGCTGTGATGGGGGTTAACAAGGCAACACACTTCCTGAAGAGCAAATACCAGGCCTGCCCCACCAGAGAAGCATCCATCAGTCACTTGGCAAATTGCAAAGGGAAAACCAAATAAATCCACAAGCAAGGAGGCTCACCCCCCTCAGGAGGAGATGGGGCTGTAAGGCATAGTCAGCCCTGAGGGGATGGAGGTGAATGCATGGTGATGGCTCAGCCCTGACATCAAGGGAGCCCTCACCCTTCGTGAGGCAGGAGGGCATGCAGCAACCCAGGCATGGGGTAAAGAGTGTGGAAAGCAGCCTTTGGAGAACTATGAACAGCATAAGAGGACTGAACCCCCCCAATCCCTCAAGCAAGATCCAGGCCTGGCCCAGCCTCTCCATGGGGGCAACTGCCACCAAACCCACACTGCCAGACCCCAGGCCTTGGCTTGGGAAGGTGGAGGGGACAGCTGGAGGCCAGAGGGGCTTCTAGGACTGCTCTGCCCAAGGCACAGCAAACTGCTGCCTGCAGTGCAAGGGGATGGATAGGGAGGATGTGGAGCACCTGCTCTCTGTGCACCCAGGTCTGCCTGCAGGAGGGTCAGCAGAGCCCACCAGCTGCCCTGCACACCTTCCCCATCTGATCCAGGAGCTCAGCCTGCACTCAGCAGATCAAGACGATTCATCAGAATGGGCTGTAAAGAAACCCAATGAAACAACAACAGAAGTAAAGCCACACGTGCCTCCCTCTACCCACAGGCCAGCTGGTTCAGCACACAGCTCAGCTCTAAGCAATGCCACAGCTTTGTGGCACAGCACCTGCCATGGTTGGAACATCCTCTGAGGTTTCTCCCCTTCTGGCAGCACTGAATTCTTCACTCCATGCTCCTGGTCCAGCTGAGGAGCCCAGAAGCAGGCAAAGCCCCGTTCCCACAGCCATATGCCCATCCCTTGCCACCATCTCACCACACATACACCAGTGCACACACTTTTTTTTTTTAAACCCAAGTGAACATGTTTCCAAAAAAAAAAAAAAAAGAAAAAAAAAAGAAAAAAAAATTAACATAAGCAGCACATTTCCCAATTGTCAAGAGCTCCAAGCTGGAGCAGAGACCCAGGACCCCCCCCCCCCAGAACAACAGAAACCAAGCCCACATTTGCTTGGGGTGGGGGGCAGCTGATTAACATTTCCAAGTGATGGTGCTCTGCCGGTGGGATGCGAGGTGAGAAGGGGCTGGGGAGAAGGAAGAAGGGCAGTTCTGTTGTGTACTGAAGGACAGGGAATGGTGACAGAGGCAGATGTACTGACACCAGGCGGTCGGCTCGGCCATCACACAGCAGCACGGGTGGGTGTGCTGGGCTGGTTTAACCTCAATGTTTTGCAGAGCCAGCCGGCGAAATCCACCTCCTCCACTTCAGAACGCTTGATGAAGGTGTGATTCTGCAAGGGAAGCGAAGCTAAGTTAGCAATGTGGCCAGGTGCATCCTGCAGTGGGGGTTTCCACCTCCAGCAGAACACCGCAATCTCTGGCCCCTTCTCAGAGCTTTGGGGGGGCTTACACTGTTGGTTGGACTCCAGTAAGGCCAATGGATCCAAGGCCATAGCTTGGGCTGCTTTCAGGCCCAGACAGTGGATCTGGAGAGTAGTTCCTAAATGTTTGCTACTTACAGCCCTGTGGCTGGGTTTTAAAGTCAGTGCATCTTGTGCCTGGCCATGAAACTCTCAGGACACGCAGAAGAGCTGAGGTGCAAAGCCTGTGTGCTGCATCCCCAGAACAAACCTAAATGCTATGGAGATAGGACAAGCCTGGTGTAGGTTCAGAGCCTACCAGCTCAGCCTGGTACCAGTTTGCTCCCAGAGAGCAAACCTTAATTCCCCAGGGTGACCACAAAACAAGGACAAGGAGCAGGGATGTAAGGATGTGGGCTGCTGCTTTTGCAAGGGGCAGCGGGGTTGAGCCAGCTGTGGCTCAGCACTAGGCTGAGGAAGAAAGGCGAGGTTCACGGGGAGAAACTGAGCTCTTCTACTCTGCTCAAGAGGCAAAGGTTTGTCCCAGGCACCTTCGCAGACACGGAGAGGTGCTGGAGCCATCAGGTTCCCATCCTGAGCTCTGCTGGGGAGGGGCATCAAGGCTCTCGGGTTAGATGACACCACTGCCTTTGAGATAAAGGCAAGTGAGTCACTTCATATCCCAGGCTGCACTTGGTTCTCAGGCTCAGCCAGGGGAGTTTCCAGCCTTTAGAGCAAGGGTGGCTGGAAGGGATGGGATGAGGCAGCAGCTTGCGGATCTGGTGCCACCCAGTGTAGAAAGAAGACTGCTCTTCCCATTTACCATCAGCATCTTCAAATCTGCCCGTTCCGCTGGATTCTTAATTAAGCTGAAATGAGAAGAACAAGAGAGCAAAGGCAGCAATGAGACACTTCTTGTAAGAAGCTGCTTATCTGTCTGGAGGGGTGTCCAGCTTCACTAAAAAACACGTTGCCTCCTGTCTGCCTTCTCCAGACCAGCAGTATGGATGATGCTCAGATAGTGGTGTCTGCAGCTCCAGCACTCTGGACTCTAGGCAGAGCTGCAAGATCCACCATTTCTGGATTGCATGGGCAAAGTGTGTAACCATTTGCAGGGATTAATGGTTTTGTAACATCTCTGTTTTAGTGGGGACAGCAGCAACATCCCCACGGTGTCCCCAGGATCAGGAGGTCTTGAAGTCAGTGGTGTTTGCAGGGTGCCTGCAAGGTTGTGGGACAAGCTGCAGAGAATAACTACAAATAAACCACTTTTATTCCAGCCCTTCCCAAGGCAGAAGTTCCCAGCACAGTGCAGGACCTTGCTGCAGCCAAGCCAGAGCAGGGAGATTGCCAACAGAGAACAGACAACCCTCATGCTGAACATTTTGAGTGGGAAGGCAGCCTGCTGAGCTGCCAGTGACCGCAAACAGGCCTCCACGTTCAGTCACAAACAGAAATCCTTACCATTTATTTACAAACTCCTGGAAATCTTGCGTGAAAACTCCATTTGGCAACTTGGGAGGTGGCTGCAGAGAGAGGAAAAAGGATTAATGGGTCAAAACGTAAATGCCTTAGAGCACAGCTTTCAGTTGCTTCCTTCCCATTCTATCGGTGGCCAAGACGACTTTGGAGCAGTTTGAGGGGCTCTATTGATAAGTCCCTGTCAAGCAAAGGTTTTTGAGCCTCCTTTGACCTTTTAGAGTGGACACAACACCAACCCAGGGCAGCAGAGCCTACCATAGTGCAATACTCACCTCATTAACTATATAGTCCAGCAGTTCAAAAATGGCCATTGCAGGTCGGTTGTCCATTCCATGGCCTGTGTGGTTAAGATGAAAGAAATACTGGTGAGAAGCTGTTCAGACACCAAAGGGCTTCATTTCACACAAAGAAAACCCACACTGGGACTTTGGTTGGGAGAAGCAGAGGGCACCAAACTTGGGAATTAACCCACTGTTAAAAACAAAATCCCCCAAACCACCTCCTAAGCTCCCCATATAAGACCAGAACCCCGCAGGCTCTCAGGATTAGAAACCTCCACAGCAGAGCTGGATTCTCCTACAGCACAAACATGGCTCTGTCTGCAGGAAGGAGTGAGATGAGAACCCTCCCTCCCCACAACCTCATTCACAGCAGCTTTTGCTGACCCAGCCACACCAACAGAACCCATCCCCTTGCCCCCATGCCTGCGTGTTGCATCTCATGCAGCATGGCAGCCCCTCCAAATGCAGCATGGCAGCCCCTCCAAATGCAGCATGGCAGCCCCTCCAAATGCAGCATGGCAGCCCCTCCAAGTGCAGCATGGCAGCCCCTCCAAGTGCAGCATGGCAGCCCCTCCAAGTGCAGCATGGCAGCCCCTCCAAGTGCAGCATGGCAGCCCCTCCAAGTGCAGCATGGCAGCCCCTCCAAGTGCAGCATGGCAGCCCCTCCAAGTGCAGCATGGCAGCCCCTCCAAGTGCAGCATGGCAGCCCCTCCAAGTGCAGCATGGCAGCCCCTCCAAGTGCAGCATGGCAGCCCCTCCAAGTGCAGCATGGCAGCCCCTCCAAGTGCAGCATGGCAGCCCCTCCAAGTGCAGCATGGCAGCCCCTCCAAGTGCAGCATGGCAGCCCCTTACCACTGATGGGGCGGCCTGGGGGTCTGGCCCGCGGCGAGACGCTGTGAGATTCTCCCTCTGCCCCATCCACCACAGGACGGCCAAATATTGCTTCCAGTTCCTTGGAGTCTGGTGGGGGTATTGGGTACCTTCCAATAGAAAGCTCCACCAGTGACAGACCCATGCTCCAGATGTCGGACTGGACTGAGTAATGAGTGCCCTGCAATCGCTCAGGCTGGAAGAAAAAAAAACACAGAGGTAAGAAACCTGAAGCATCCTCTCTATGAGAGGTGTCCTCCAAGCAGCCAGCGCTCCTGATGCCTGCCAGAAGCACTGATGTCTGCAGAGAAAGCATTTCTGGGGGGTGGGGGAACTCCCAAGTCACAGCAAACACAAAGCACTTGCACACATCTAACCAACAGATACAGCTGAGCAGCCTTTGCAGTTGCTCATGCTGTGGACTTCTGAGTGTGAAGTATTTCTCAGTGAGCTGAGATCTCAATTTTGTTGTCAAAGTTTTTTTATTTCTTCTGTTTATTCCTATTCATATCTGAGAGCAATCTGAGGAGCAGAAAATCCTGCTGTGATGAAAAGGCTAAAAAATAATAAACCCATGCAAGCCATCTATGCTGGTAGCTTTGTGTGAGCTGTGCAGACCCAACTGAGTGCAGAAGGAACACCACCCTTAAATACACCATCTAACTATAACTCTACTTAAATAACCATTCCCAAAAATACAAGAGGAGCTCAGACCTAAGTACAGAAGCACCGGCAGCTTTGCTTACTGCCTGCTTACAGCTGCAGCCACACGGTGTGGACAGCAGACATGCATCTTCTTTGCTATCCAGACAGAGGACCAGAACCAGCCTGGAGGAAATTTCATGGTTACAGCAGCCTGTTATCAAGACACAGGGCAGAGGAGTCTGCATGCTGCCTGTTGCTGCACTGTGTCACTTCCACTACACCAGGCTGGACAGAAACCATTAGCCCAAATGTGTCACAATCTGTGGTTTAGCACATCTGCAGCCCAAGGCCCACAGATTATGACTTTCGTTTTGAGACATCATCTGCTCTTTTTGCAGCTTTCCTCCAGTCTGGCTCTGTTTTCCATCAGTCTCCACCAACCCCACCTGCATTAGACTGGCTAACACCCCTGCCAACATGGTTGAAGCATGGTTGAAGGAGGGAGGGTGTCAGCACGGATGCCCTCTCCACAGTTTCTTGGACAGGCTTTGCATACAGAAAGAATTTTCTGAACCCACAAACAGTAGCTGAAACAGAATGAAAGCATCCATAGGATGTGGACATCTTCCTTTGCACATCTTGTACTTGTTCCTATTGCATGGAACACTACGTGCTCCCCAGTCCAACCTTCAGCATGAAGAAGCAGTAAGCACATGTGATCAGACAGCATCCAAAGAGACCACAGGCAGGAATGCAGAGGAAAACTCTGAACAGCTTGGACAGGACACTGATTCTATACGAGTGGTTAACCCCACCTGCATCCAAGCTGAACCCAAATTGTAAAAATCCACTAAAAAGTTGAACTTACAGACATGTAGGACCGAGTTCCCACAAAAGAGTTTGCCATGGAGTCAATGAGCTGACCACTGACCCCAAAATCACACAGCTTAATCTCTCCTCGAGAGTTAACCAGGATGTTGGAAGGCTTCACATCTGACAACAGTGAGAGAGAAGAGTGTAAACATGGCTCTGGGTAAAACAGGGCTCCTCCAGCACAGGCAGTTATTGTTAGGTTCCTCCTCTCTCACCTCTGTGCATGATTTGGTGCTTCTCTCTCAGATAGGCCAAACCTCTCAGAACCTAGAAGGAAGCCAAAGACAGGATAAGGACTCAGAAGCGAAGCGTTTTGCCTTCAGGAAGATGCATTGCATAAACTTCAGTGCTGCCACATCGCAGCCCTGTGAGGAAAGCCTCTCTGTGGTGACTAAGCACTTCAAGTTTTGCAACTGATGGCAGTGGATGGCAGTGAGCAATGGCCACTGTATGGATTCAGTCACAGAGCAAAAACCGACCCCTGCTGTGACAATCACAAGTCTTGGGTTTCTTGCCCAAGGAAGTTTCTCTCCCTGTCTGGCAACCACCAAATAGTGCAACACCAGGGGTGGGAATGATGGAAAGTGCTTGGGAACCTGCTTCCCTGCTCCCATCTCACGTACCACCACCTCCTGCCCAACTTCAGGATGGGAAAGCACATATGGACAAATGAAGAAAGCTTCCCGGGGTTGCACAAGCATTTTCTCACCCACGGCAACTCACCGCTATACTGACTTTCCCCAGTATTTCTTCAGGAATTCTTTTGGCTTCTTTCAACACTTGATCCAGGGAGCCACCGTCCTGGAAGTAAGAAAGCCACTGAGGTTATCAGCACACCAAGAGCAGCAGAGCAGTTGGCCATACAGACAAACGCATCCATATTGGACTATAAGAGTGATACACAGCATCCCAGCTCAGTAGACTGCAGCACATCGATATCAAGCAAGCTCCTTCAGCAGAAAAAGATCTCTGGTGATCAGAGCTCAAGCTTCTCACTGAGAACTACTTGAATCCTATCAGCTCTGTTTCTTGCTGTTAGTTTTTAAGCTTCTTTTCCCTCAGCGCTTTGAACACAAAGATGAGGCAGCCAGCATCATTGTGGAGGAATGACAACACTTCTGACAGGGACAAGAAAAGATGCACATTGCATTTGACAGCAAGCTCTGTAGAGTGATGGGTTTACAATATTTCTGTTTGGCCACCCCCTAAACTTCTGCTTCCTAAAAAAAACCAACCTTGATGCCTGTCATTTAGATGCCTAAGTAGAAACATGGAGATTCTAACCCCAGCTTAGCAGCCTTGCTGAACACCAAGCAGTCAGAGCAAGGAGCCACTGCATTGCCAGCAATGAATGCCAGCACACTAACCCACTTCATCTGGATGTCATTCTCATAAAGATCCAGTTGGGAACACAGTGCTGGGAGCAGCACTTTGGAGAAGGAGGAGGGGGGGAACGTGGACTCACCATGTGCTCCATGCAGATGGAAATCTCTCCATCGCTGTAGAAGGCTCCATAGAAACCCACAATATATGGGGAATTACACTCATGCAGCACCTGCAGCTCTCGGATAATCTGATTCCTGATGGCTGGTTTGATTTCTAGATGAATCAGCTAACAAGAAAAATTATATATATATATAAAAAAAAAAGTATAGTGCCTAAAGGTATCAAAAAACAACCTTACAGGAACCACGTGAACAAGCAAGCGTGAGCATTGGAAAGAAAGGAAAAGGTTTCCAAAATTAAGGATAAAGGATCAAGTGAAGTGCTGTGCAGCCTGCTAGCAAGTGCAGCAACTGCCAGCCTGTGTAACACACTGAAATCACACAGGACACAGAATGGAAAGGCAAGGCAGAAGCAGATCTGACTTGGCAACGTGAACATTTTCACGAGCTTCGTAGGTGTTGTAAGAACAGGTGCTCTCCTATCAAGGAAACCACATGGAGTGAAAAAAACAACATTCACGTGCTTATGCACGTGGAAGAGTAAATGCCTTATTCCTTGGGCTCCACACAGTCAGCTAACACACTGTGGGAAGGAAAGTCTTGCAGGTTAGAAAGCAGCTGCTGTTACTGTAAGCTCTAGGACACCCAGGCCCTGGTTTCAGCAAGGAACACAGCAGTGCTGCCCAATGCTGCAGCTTGCCTTGGCTCCAGTTTCTAAACACAGCGCTCCCAACAATCTCAAAACCATCTAATTACATCTAAAATAATGGAAATTATTTTATAATTAATTAAAAATAATCGGGAAATAATAATCCCAAAATAATGCCACAGTGGAAGACTCACAGAGCTCCACTCCAAGCAAAGCCACCTGGAAAACCTATTAGTTCATGATACCCACTAAGTCATCCCCACAGCAAGAGAGAATAGAGCCTTCCAAGGAAGCTGTCCTATATGTTAGCAATTGTGCTGCTCTCACTGAGCACTGCCTTTTCTAATAGGCAGACAAAGCACCTCCTATTTCTCTATTACAAGACAATAAAAGACATCTCCCATAAGCCAATCTCAGAGAGGAACAGCTGTCAAGACAGGTTCACAAGACTGCTTGGAACTATCAAGTGGATGGCAAGGGATGCGTGCACGCCAAACCCTGGTGTGTGCAGGGCCAGCTATGCATCTTTCCACCTGCCACACTGAGCCCTTGTCAGCCACCACCCTCAGAAAGCCCATTTCCTGGCAAAAGAACAAACTCATGTTCTCACACCAGGCGTTGCAAAACCCTGTGACCTGTTTAATGCAGACTTCCCCTTCTCAGGAGATGACCCACAGCCGGGCAGAGCAGCGAGACAGCTTACAGAAGTTAACAGGAAGAGACTCTGTGCAGAGCCCAGCTTTGTGCATCGGTACCAACTCAGACAGGTGCTTTGCATGCAGGTGGAGCAGTGCAGACAGCCTGCTTGGACCCTGCTCCCCAGCAAGGCATCTCCTGCCTCCTTACCTTCCGTGCCATAATGAGTCCTGAGGGTTTGTGTTGCACTTTGGTGACCACACCACCATTGCCAGCCCCCAGCTCAGAGATCCGCTCAAAGTCATCATCCTTCAGCTCTCCCACTTTGGCTTTCTGAGTGAGGAAAGCTTCCAAGCGCTTCTTTTGCTGCTCATCCAGCTCCAGCTCCTCGAGCTTCTTCTGAAGGTCCACCAGGTTAGCCCTGCAGGAGATGAAGGGGGCATCAGTCTGTGAGGGTCCAGAGAAAGTCTGTCCTCTGTTGGCAGGGGCAAAACATGGCTCATAAGGGTTAGACAGCGAGGCACGGGGAAAAGAACCTCAATGTTTTTTTTGTGGGAACCGTGGAGAAGCAGAAGGAATACCAGAAGTCCCAACCCGCACATACTCAGCCCAAACCCCTGTACAAGTTAAGGGACAACTTTTCCTAACACGGAAAGCCACGCTTGGCCTTCTCTGTGAAGCACAATGCCTCTCCACATGCCCACCAGCCCCCTGCTACCCCAGACCCACAGCTGAGCACAAAGGGGATGCTGTGTTCCCCAACACCTGCTATGCACGCACAGACAGACAGACTCCAGCCACCCTCTGCCATTTGCTGCCCCATCCCCCACTCGGGGCAGGGGATCAGCGAGGGCTCCCAGCAGCCCCAACACCCCCCTCCTTCTCCCCTCGCCCCCCAAATCCCTACGGCTTCTGTTCCTCCTCACCCTACTGACCACCCCCAGCTCCTCGCCTCGCCTCCCCCAGCCCTTCCCCACCTCATCCCAGCCAAGCTACGAACAAGGCCGCTCTGTGCCCGGCCCCATCGCTTCCTCCTCGATCCCACAGCGCTGCCCTCAAGCAGCCCCCGGTTCCCACACAAACCCCATCCAGGCACAGCCCATCCCAGCTCCCCATTCGCTCCTCAAGCCCCGTTCCCGTCCCTCTCCGGTTCCCGGTTCAGCTCCCAGGCCCGGCACGCAGCCAACCCCAGTACCGACGCTCCAGAAGCGGCAAGGACCGGTCAGACCCCACCGCCACTCACTCACTCTGCGGAACCACCGAGTCCGGGTCCGGGTCCTTCGACTGGGCTGGGAGTGATGGTGAGGGCCGGCAGCACCGGCTTCCTCTTGGCCGGCATGGCCGGGCCGCGCCGCGCCTGCGGACCGAGCGGGGCGGAGCATGGAGCGAAAGTGGGCGGAGCCAAGAGGGGGAGTAACCGAAAGGGGCGGGGCGTGGGGAAACGGCCGCGTGGAGGACGCCTCGCGGAGTCTCGCGAGAGCGTGCTGCGGAGGACGGCTTCGAGGCTCGAGGCGGGGCATGGGGGCTGCAGCGCCCCCTGCTGGTGCCCGCCGTGCCTCACGCGGCGGAGCGCTCTGCAGGCTTTGGCAGCGGGTCGCGTGGTGCCAGGGCGGTGGCAGGGCGGAGGCCGGCAGAGCGGACGCCCTTTGCCCGGAGCAAGGAGTTCCCGTCTCCGCTGCGGGGCCATAAATTGCGGCGTGAAGGCGGTGCCCTCCCTCTTGCCGGTCCCTCCTGGACAGAGGGCGTTGTGCAAGAGATAAGCACGACGTTGCAGCCTTGTACCCGGTGGCACAGCGTGGTCACAAGCTGCCTTGGCTCACCGGGCACGTGGGAGAGGGGCGGGCTGGGCTCTGCACAGCACGAAGGGGATCAGCTGGGTGGGTTCTGCTGGGATCTGATCGTGCCCATCCAGAGTTGTAATCCCCAGCATTCAGAATGTGAGATATCCAACATCATCACCAAAGGGTGAGGGATGTGGCAGGCTGTGAGCCCCAGCCTTCATGCTTTTTGATCCACAGGGAAACTGAGGCACAGAGCTGGCAGCTGGGCCAGCCCTGGGCGTGAGGATCATCATGAACATCAGTTGGGATCAACGTGTGTTATGGAGAAGCAGCAAGTGATAGAATTCAAGCCAACATCTTCCCCAGACGTTCTCGACATTTATAGGATGTGATTAATGCTGATGTGCTCATCTGAAAAAAATAAAAAGAAATTACCCCCAAAGTGGGGGAAAGTTCATGGGCAGTTGCAGAGCCTGGACTTCGCCCATCAGCCCAGGCCCCTCCTGCCCCACTCGGCAGAGGAGGACAAAAACATTTGGCTAATAAGTTACGGAGCACCGTGGGCCTTCCCTTTGCCATCGCCGGCCCCTATCAGGACACAGGCAATTTTGCAATCTTGGACACTATTTATGTGCTGTTGGAGTTTAAACTTTGCCACTCGGGTCAGGGCATCGCAGAGGAGGAGGTGGCCAGGCTCGGTGTCCTGCACACCAAAGGAGTTCAGAGGCCAGGACGGATCTCAGGGCTTCTCACTGGAGCTGGGATCTCACACAGGTACGTCCTGGCTGCCAGTGCTCAACAAAGCCTTGCTGTCAGCAATGGGGCTGCTGATGGCACTGGAAGGACCATGGGGAGAGAATAGGGTGTAATTTCCCTTGTTTTCCAAGCTGGCTGGTCAAATGCCACGTTAATGACAGCCAACCTCAAACCCAGCTTGAAAAAGCCTTGAGTCAGTGCTCCTCAGATATTGGTTGGGTGGTGGGCTGGGTGGGTTGGGTAGGAGGTTAAGTGAGTGTTCAGTTGGTCTGTGAGTTGGTGCTTTGGTCAATCAGTTTGTCAGTTGGGCAACAGCTTGGCTGTTCGATCTGTTTTTTGGTCACTTCCTTGATTTTGCTGGTCAGTTGGCCGATTTGTTGGGTTTCTTGGAATCCAGACTTTGGGATTGGGGGCCCTTCTTGGGGCTGACCAGTGGCAGCAGCCTCCTTTCCTCCGTTTGCCACACTAAATGATTAACCTAATCTTCTCAGCGGTCCCATATGCCAGACAAGGCCAGACAGGAGAAATGAGCTGAGGGCTCAGGTCTGGGTGCTCCTCCTGTAGGGTTGGGATGGCTGGGTGCCCATGGGAAGCCCCTGCTGCTGGGGGAAAAATGGATGATTTAGGAGCTACAGCTGCTGGAAGCGAGCAGAGGGGGGGACACTGCCATGTCCTGACTCCCTGTGTGCATGTCCAGACCATATGTGTGCTCTCCCTCCTGCATGCAGGCACGTAGGGCTTGGCCAGGTGCGCTCACATGCTGCAATACAAGTTGCAACGTGTGCGTGTTCATACCCACGTCTCACACGTGTGGGTGCATGTGTGCACATATAGATTGCACGGTCATATCCCTGCACACACATGTCAGCATGGCCACGCATCCACCCACCTATGCGTGCATCTATGTGATCACACGCGTTTGCACACGCGTGACACGTGTGTAGATGCGCATCCTCGTGGTCCCACTCACGTCTCTGTGCTCCTTGCTCCCTCTCACCAAGCTGTCCAGTGCTTCAGGGTGTCCCCAGAGCTATGAAACTTCGGGGAGAGGCACAGGGACAATCATGGAGATGGGGTCTGACCTCGTCTCCTTGCAGCCATGGCCTCTACTGTGGGCGGCCTCGACAGCATCGACCTGCTGGACCTCCTCTTTGACCGCCAGGATGGAATCCTCCGTGGTGTGGAGCTGGGGACGACATCCCCGGGCACCTGGCACGAGGATGGGGTGAGATCTGCTTTACCTGAACACCATGCATTGCTGTCCTGTGGCCCAGGCAGATCCTACAGGAGCTCAGCACTGATGGTGACAGGCATCCATATCCCCACAGCGTGCCCAGGATGGCGAGGACTTCCTTAGCTCCATTCTGGGCTCTGGAGACTCAATATCAGGCTCGCCCAGCTGGTCCCCAGGTGTCAGCGACAGTGGAGTCTCTGAGGACCCCCCCTCTGATCAACTCGACAGCCCCCCCGGGTGCTGTGACGGAGGGCTCAGCGAGGCCCCGTATGCCTTTACCAACTCCTGCCACCAGGTTCTGACACATCCTGGGAGCACTGGAGGCCCCCATCCTGAGGTCTCCATTGACCTGGGTGAGCCATGGGGGACAAACAGGGTGGAGGACAGAGCTGGGAACAGTGGGAGGTTGAGGAGACACTGGGGAGCTGATGGGTGGTGTGGGAAGTTAAGGGAGCTAGGTGGGATGGGAGGTTTGGGTATGCAGGAAGGATGGAGAGGTATGGGGCACAGAAGGGAAGCTGGGGGATGTCAGGGGGCCAAGGACACGACACAGCTGACAGCCCTCACTCGGCCCTCACCCAGATATGTGGAATCCTGGCTTCTTCCTGGAGGAGGGCCGGGCTCTGTCGACAGTCCCTGCGCCTGCATCCTGTACCCTCACTGTCAAGGATCTGCTGCTCTCAGGCAGCTCTGATGCTGTGAGTCCTCACTACCATGTTCCCCAGCCCTCCTTGTGCCCAGTCCTGTCCCATCCTAGATGCCATCCTCATTCCTCATCCCCATCCCTTTACTTTTTCTCATTCTTTCTCTTTCCTTGGACCTTTGTCCCTTCCCTCCCTCCTTATCCCTGCCACTTCCTGGACCACGATCCCATTCCTGCCCTCATCCCTCCTCGTCTCTCCCCCCCTTATTCCCCTTCCTGAACTACACACAGTCTTGTTCCCGTCCCTTTCTGGATGTCGTCCTCAACCTTGAACCACTGTCCCTACCTGTGGTCCTTTGGGGCAGGCATGGGGTGAGCCTGCAGCCCAGGACATCACCTATCCACGGTCCCACAGCAGCCACAGGTGCCCAACTCCTTACTGAGGCAGGGCCAGGGGCAGTTCCAGGAGCTCGTGCTGACAGAGGATGAGAAGAAGCTGCTGGCAAAGGAGGGGGTGTCCCTGCCCACGCAGCTGCCCCTCACCAAGGTGAGTCCTGTGGTACCTGAGATGGAACAAGTGGACACCGTGCTTGGGGTTCTGGCTGCCCTAACCCCCCCCCCCCCCCCCCATTTCTGCAGTATGAGGAGCGAGTGCTGAAGAAGATCCGGAGGAAGATCAGAAACAAGCAGTCAGCTCAGGAGAGTCGCAAGAAGAAGAAGGAATATATCGATGGGCTGGAGAGTCGGTATGGCCACTGAACCCCTGCCTCAGGCTGGTCGGTGATAGGCACGCTGCTTGGCTTCCCTCAGACCTCACATCCCTCTCTCTGTCCCCCAGGATGTCAGCGTGCACAGCTCAAAACCAGGAGCTGCAGAGGAAAGTCCTGCACCTAGAGAAGCAGAACTCGTAGGTGTCTCCATAACAGACAAAGCACAAAGGGGCAGGTGAAGGGGTGGTTGAGATTCTGCTGCGAGGTGGATCCCAGACCTTGGGGTTCTCATGCACTCTCTCTATCCCCAGGTCTCTCCTGGAGCAGCTGAAGAAGCTGCAGGCCCTGGTGGTGCAGTCGAGCAACAAAGCAGCACAGACAGGAACCTGCATTGCGGTGTGTGGAGCCCCCTGCTCCTTGTTCCCATTCTCTGCCCCAAATCTCCTCTCCAGGGCTCCTTGCTTCAAGGGAGTGAGAAATCAATGGAGGAGTGCTGGAAAGGGTGGATGGAGGGATGGGTGTGCTGATGTGGAAGAATGGATGCTCCAGGGTTGGAAGGAGGGATGGATGTGTGTTAAAAAGGGTGGATGGATGGTGTCAGGACGGGGCAGGCAGCAGGGAGAAATGGAGGGACGCAGCCCTGGTTCTGCCACCAGCCCCCTCGCTGGGAACCACGTTGCACAGCATGGTCCTCCTCAAACACCACACACAGTAACACCACCCCTGTGTCCCCAGGTCCTGCTGCTCTCCTTCGCACTCATTGTCTTCCCCTCCATCAGCCCTTTTGCCCCTAGCAAAGCTGAGACAGGTGGTGACTTCGGACCAGTGCGAGGTAAGGAGGGTTGGGGGGGGGGCCATGCCAGGGCTGCACAGAGGGCATTGCTGCCAGCCCTGACTCTCCTTCGTGCTCAGTTTTCTCCAGGTCCCTGCATAACACAGCTGCCTCCCGTGTGGCTTATGCACAGCCCCGAGCTGGGGATGAGAAGCCCCCAGAGCCACTGTGGTCAAAGCACCAGGCTGAAACCGAGACTCTGCACGAAGCCTTTGGAAGCAGCTCCTTCACTCCACACCTCGATAAAGCTTCCACCCAAAACAGCACACCACCAATTGCCTCAGAGGGGCTGAGCCAGAGTGATGGGGACCAATCTGGCACTGCACTGGGGGACAGCAGTGCACTGCACCAAAGCCTGACGTCGCTCGCTTGGACAGAAGCTGACCACAGCAGGCCCACAGTGCTGGAGCCAGCTGAGGAGCTTTAAGCAGCAC